CTTTTTGGGGACCTTATCATACCCCAAAACTCACAATATTTTGCAAAGATGTCAGGCCTGGTGAAAAATTTGATATTTTAATGGTCCCAAAAAAATTGCAAAGAAAATGGCTGAACAGCGCCCCCTAGAAAGTGAAAAAAACCCTTCTCCATAAAGCTTAGTTTATCGTACAATTATGAAATTTGGTACACTTGTAGTACTCACCAGTCCGCACAGAAAAGTCTCTTGCAAGCATGGTCAATATCAAACAGGAAGTCGGCCATTTTGGGTTGAAATGGCGATTTTTAGCCGTTTTTGCCGTTTTTAGGGTCCGTTTCTGATTGGATTGCTCGATAAATTTTCGCACCATCATCTCAAAAATTGTGTCAAATTGCTCAGAAGGGATGGCCGAACAAAATGAGATGAGGATTCTGAGTTTTCGTATATGTTGAAGGGGCGGGGCCAGGCCTCAAAATTTGACTACTCGCCAAAAAAATTTAAATTGCTATAACTTCATAACTGAATAAAATAGAGTTACAAAACTTTCTGTGGTCATTCGTCATCCACCCACAAAGTAAATTGAATGGTCGGATGATGACATCACTCAAGCCCCGCCCCCTCAGGACCAAAAAGATCAAGTTTTACTGTGAAAGGTCCCAAATTGCCCCATTTCACTTAATCACCACGAATTTGTAGCTGGTAACTCAAGACAAGTGGGGGTTGCTTGGCGTCACTTTATGGGAGTTTTCGGCAGAGGGCGGGGCTGTGGCGGCGCGGCGAAGTCAGGCGTACCGCCGTGGCCTTACGTTTGCCTCCCATTTCGTCATTTCTAAAGATATCGTCACGAAACTTCTTGTGAGTGATCCTAGTCCGGCCCCCCAAAAGATCTGATGTGAACATCCGGTGGGCGTGGCCTATTTTCTGAAATAGCGCCCCCTAGGACGATTAAAACTGTCAGCCCCAAGCCATGCTTTGACTGAGGATTACGAAATTTGGTACACTAATGTGGTGTCTAAGGACCTACAAAAAAGTCTCTTGGAGCCAAGTGCAAAGTCGCACAGGAAGTCGGCCATTTTGGTCCAAGTGCGCGATTTAGTGGTTTTCACACACGTTGTTTGGAGAGTGATGCTCCGTCGCCCTTTTCACCAATCGCCTTCAAACTTCTGCTATATACTCTTAAGACATAGAGGAAAAAATTCAACCGTCGGATTTTAAATAAGTATAAAGGTGTGGGCGTGGCTAAGCCTCAAACATTGACCTTTCGCCACGCCACTCTTTTTTTCACAGCTCCCTATTGGACCCATTTTACCCAATCACCAGTAATCTCTGGTAAATAGCAGCAGACAAGTTGAGGTCACTTGGTCTCCAGTACTGGAAGGTTTTGAGAAAAGGCGGGGCTTTGGGAGCATGGCGAAATTCGCCATCACGCCATGGAGATACGTTTGCCTCTCATTTCTTCATTTATCGTGATATCACCTCGAAACTTGTTGTGAGTGATCCTAGTCGAACCCCCAATAGAAATGGATGGCTGAAGTTTGTGGGCGTGGCCTATTTTCTGAAATAGCGCCCCCTATGACCATTAAAACTGTCAGCCCCAAGCCATGCTTTGACTGAGGATTGCAAAATTTGGTACACTAATGTGGTGTCTCAGGACCTACAAAAAAGTCTCTGGGAGCCAAGTGCAAAGTCGCACAGGAAGTCGGCCATTTTGGTCCAAGTTCTCGATTTAGTGGTTTTCGCACACGTTGTTTGGACAATGATACCCCGTCGCCCTTTTCACCGATCACCTTCAAACTTCTGTTATATTTTCTTAAGACAAAGGGGAAAAAATTCAACCGTCGGATTTTAAATAAGTATAATGGTGTGGGCGTGGCTAAGCCTCAAACTTTGACCTTTCGCCATTACATTACTTGACTTAACAACTCCAATGTGCATGATCAGATCTATATCAAACTTTGTCCGTGTGATCAATGACCAAATCTCAAGACAACGTCATTGTGGACAGGTGACATCACCTAAGCCCCGCCCCCTGACAACAGGAAGTCTATTGTTTTATGGTGAAATGCCCATATTTGTCCTCCCTAATTTAGTCAACATGACACTAAGGTCAGGCACTGTCTTCATGATGTTGCAATGACCATTCAGATCTGATAACTTTCCAGATAGGGAGGGGCTTTGATGCCATGGCGATTTCTGGCATGACGCCATGACCTTACGTTTGATCGTAACTTCCACAAACAGCCTCCCATCTGCACGAGACTGAACATGGCAATCAACAATCATGCCCTTTAGCCAATGAGACACAAATGGTTGGTGAAATTCGTATAATAACACCACAGCACCCCCTACACAACATTAAAACTGTAATAACTCCTACAGACGAGGTCGTAACTGCACCAAACTTGGTGTGCTCAGAGGGGATGCTCAGTCAGGGTGAGGTGCGGACGAGGTGACCGTTAGCTGTTTCTGGTGTCGGGGTGGTCAAAATTTTTGTTCCACGGACGTAACCTGGTGCCTCGGGCTGCCGGCCAGGCCGGAGCGGCGCAGAGCTGCGAGGGCCGAACGACGCTGCTTGCAGCTTTAATTATTATTATTTTTCTTCCGCGTCTTTGGGTGGCCTTTAGGGGGTCTTAGCATATCCAAAAAGTCACCAAATTCTGGCCCAATATAGAAAGTGCGTGAAATTTACGTATTTCACTGGCGATAAGAAAGTTCATAAAAAAGTGGCTGAACAGCGCCCCCTAGAAAGTGAAAAATACCCCTCTCCATAAAGCTTAGTTTATCGTACAGTTATGAAATTTGGTTTACTTGTAGTACTCAACAGTCCGCACAGAAAAGTCTCTTGCAACTATGGTCAATATCAAACAGGAAGTCGGCCATTTTGGGTTGAAATGGCGATTTTTAGCCGTTTTGGCCATTTCTAGGGTCTATATTTGGTTGAACAGTTTGGTCATTTTTCGCACGATCGTCTCAAAAATAGTGTGCTATCGAACAGAAGCAATGGACGATTCAAATGAGAAAATAAAATAGACTTTTCGTAAATACTGAAGGGGCGGGGCCAGGCCTCAAAGTTCGAGCACTCGCCAAAAAAATTCAAATTGCTATAATTTCATAAATGAAAGAATTAGAGTTAAAGTAACTTTCTATGGATAATCGTCATCGCACCCCGAAGACAAATGAATGGTCGATTGATGATGTCACACAAGCCCCGCCCCCTCAGGACTTAAAAGGTCAAGTTTTAATGGGAAATTTTCCAAAATTCGCCCTTTCGAATAATCAGCCCACATTTGTAGCAGTTAACTGAAGTGAAGGTGGCGTTGCTTGGCGTCACTTTATGGGTGTTTTCTGCAGAAGGCGGGGCTGTGGCGGCGCGGCGAAGTCAGGCGTATCGCCGTGGCCATACGTGTGCCTCCCATGTCGTCATTTCTAAAGATATAGTCACAAAACGTCTTGTGAGTGATCCTAGTCCGGCCCCCCAAAAGATCTCATGTTAACATCCGGTGGGCGTGGCCTATTTTCTGAAATAGCGCCCCCTAGGACCATTAAAACTGTCAGCCCCAAGCCATGCTTTGACTGAGGAGTACGAAATTTGGTACACTAATGTGGGGTCTCAGGACCTACAAAAAAGTCTCTTGGAGCCAAGTGCAAAGTCGCACAAGAAGTCGGCCATTTTGGTCCAAGTACTCGATTTAGTGGTTTTCGCACATGTTGTTTGGAGAGTGTTGCACCAGCGCCCTTTTCACCAATCGCCTTCAAACTTCTGCTATATACTCTTAAGACATAGGGGAAAAAATTCAACCATCGGATTTTAAATAAGTATAAAGGTGTGGGCGTGGCTAAGCCTCAAACTTTGACCTTTAGCCATTACATTACTTGACTTAACAACTCCCATGTGCATGATCAGATCTATATCAAACGGTGTCTGTGTGATCATTGACCACATCTCAAGACAATGACAATGTGGACAGCTGACATCAGCTAAGCCCCGCCCCCTGACTACAGGAAGTCTATTTTTTTATGGTGAAATGCCCATATTTGTCCCCTCTAATTTAGTCAACATGACACTAAGGTCATGCACTGTCCTCATGATGTTGTAAGGACCATTCAGATCTGATAGCTTTTCAGAAAGGGAGGGGCTTTGATGCTATGGCGAATTCTGGCGTGACGCTGTGACCTTACGTTTTACTGTAACTTCCACAAACAGCCTCCGATTTGCCCGAGACTGAACATCACATCACCAGTGTGGTAAAGATAGAGTATTTCATAGTGGTGAGACGTGTAATGCTGGGCTCAGAGGGGATGCTGAGTCAGGGTGAGGTGTGGACGAGGAGGCCGTTCACGGTTTCTGGTGTCGGGGTGGTTGACGTTTCTGTTCTGCCAGACGTGCCCTGATGCCCCCGGCTGCCGGCCAGGACGGAGCGGCGGGGAGCTAGGTTTGGAGAGCGTCGGGGATGGAGCGGAGGGGGTGCGGACGGAGGGCGAGCAGCTTCGCTGCGAGGGCCGAACGACGCTGCTTGCAGCTTTAATTCCATGCTGTCGTTCTTTTTAAAACACAGAAACGGTTTCGTTACCTGTTTTTTTTTTTTTTTTTTGAAAATAACTCTGTGCTGTTTTTCTCTTTTTTTTTCTTCATAAATTACATCAATGACTTTTGAGTATTCAAACTGGCATTTCAGGGGTTAAAAGTCTCAAAATGATTGAATTTTTTTATGTTTGAGCAGGGCTGAAGTTGTTCAACAGATATATGAAAAAAAAGTTTAAAAAAAACATGAATGTATAATTTTTTATAGCCACTTTTACAAGCGGACGTTTTTGTCCTCTAATGACTCTTTTGTATGAAAATTAAAGTGAAGCCTGAGGGTTAAGGCTCATATGATTTATAGAGGCTCAAAGTTCAGTTTCCAGTTGTAAATACGTTTCATTCTACTGTCAGTTTAAAGAAATAATACAACTGTTATATCTGTGAAAACACAGTTACAGCTGTCTGCAATTCACATAATATGTTTCTGTGTTTCCTACAGATTTTCAACAGGTGGTTCTGGTTAAAGAAGAAGCTTCAGAAGAACAGAGATCTTGTGTCAACCACCAGCACCTAGATTTTCTCCATATAAAGGAGGAACAGGAGAAACTCTGGTCTAGTATGGAGGGAGAGCATCTCCATTTGAATAAGGAGACTGATGCTGCCAGGTTTCAATCCTTTAGCCAAAAAACACATTTAAACAAACACTTCAGAGTCCAGACAAAGCAGAAACATTTTGCCTGTGAGCACTGTGGACAAAGGTTTCACCAAAAGACTAATTTAACCACACACATGAGCGTCCACATAGGAGAGAAGCCTTTTGTCTGTGAGCTCTGTGGAACGAGATTTAGCCGAAAGACACATTTAAACACACACATGAGAGTCCACACAGGAGAGAAGCCTTTCACCTGTCAGCTCTGTGGGAAAAGATTTAGTGAAAAGGGAAGTTTAAACACACACATGAGAGTCCACACTGGACAGAAGCCTTTTGCTTGTGAGCTCTGTGGAACGAAATTTAGCCAAAAGAAAACTTTAAACCGACACATGAGCGTCCACACTGGAGAGAAGTCTTTCGCCTGTGAGCTCTGTGGTAATAGATTTAGTGAAAAGGGAAGTTTAAACACACACATGAGAGTCCACACTGGAGAGAAGCCTTTCGCCTGTGAGCTCTGTGGTAATAGATTTAGTGAAAAGGGAAATTTAAACACACACATGAGAGTCCACACCGGAGAGAAGCCTTTCGCCTGTGAGCTCTGTGGTAATAGATTTAGTGAAAAGGGAAGTTTAAACACACACATGAGAGTCCACACTGGAGAGAAGCCCTTTCCTTGTGAGCTTTGTGGAACGAGATTTAGCCGTCAGACACATTTAAACAGTCACATGAGAGTCCACACTGGACAGAAATCTTTTGTCTGTGAGCTCTGTGGAACGAGATTTAGCCAAAAGACAAACTTAACCAGACACATGAAAGTCCACACAGGAGATAAGCCCTTTCCTTGTGAGCTCTGTGGAACGAGATTTAGCCAAAAGACAAATTTAAACAGTCACATGAGAGTCCACACAGGAGAGAAGTCTTTCGCCTGTGAGCTCTGTGGTAATAGATTTAGTGAAAAGTCAGCTTTAAACATACACATGAGAGTCCACACAGGAGAGAAGCCTTTCGCCTGTGAGCTCTGTGGTAATAGATTTAGTGAAAAGGGAAGTTTAAACACACACATGAGAGTCCACACTGGACAGAAGCCTTTTGCTTGTGAGCTCTGTGGAACGAAATTTAGCCAAAAGAAAACTTTAAACCGACACATGAGCGTCCACACTGGAGAGAAGCCTTTCGCCTGTGAGCTCTGTGGTAATAGATTTAGTGAAAAGGGAAGTTTAAACACACACATGAGAGTCCACACTGGAGAGAAGCCTTTCGCCTGTGAGCTCTGTAGTAATAGATTTAGTGAAAAGGGAAGTTTAAACACACACATGAGAGTCCACACTGGAGAGAAGCCTTTCGCCTGTGAGCTCTGTGGTAATAGATTTAGTGAAAAGGGAAATTTAAACACACACATGAGAGTCCACACCGGAGAGAAGCCTTTCGCCTGTGAGCTCTGTGGTATTAGATTTAGTGAAAAGGGAAGTTTAAATAAACACATGAGAGTCCACACTGGAGAGAAGCCCTTTCTTTGTGAGCTTTGTGGAACGAGATTTATCCGTCAGACACATTTAAACAGTCACATGAGAGTCCACACTGGACAGAAATCTTTTGTCTGTGAGCTCTGTGGAATGAGATTTAGCCAAAAGACAAACTTAACCAGACACATGAAAGTCCACACAGGAGATAAGCCCTTTCCTTGTGAGCTCTGTGGAACGAGATTTAGCCAAAAGACAAATTTAAAGAGTCACATGAGAGTCCACACAGGAGAAAAGCCTTTCGCCTGTGAGCTCTGTGGTAATAGATTTAGTGAAAAGGATAGTTTAAACACACACATGAGAGTCCACACTGGAGAGAAGCCTTTCGCCTGTGAGCTCTGTGGTAATAGATTTAGTGAAAAGGGAAGTTTAAACAGACACATGAGAGTCCACACTGGAGAGAAGCCTTTCGCCTGTGAGCTCTGTGGTAATAGATTTAGTGAAAAGGGAAGTTTAAACAAACACATGAAAGTCCACACAGGAGAGAAGCCCTTTCCTTATGAGCTTTGTGGAAAGAAATTTAGCCAAAAGACAACTTTAAACAGTCACATGAGAGTCCACACTGGGGTTTCGCCTGTGAGTTCGGTGGAAAAGTTTTACCCAAAAGATCAGTTTAAACGGTCACAGAAGAGTCAATAAAGGACAGAAGCCTTTTGCTTGTGAGCTCTGTGGATGAAGATTTAGCTGAAAGAAAACTTTAAACAATCATCTAAGCATCTACTAGGGCTGAACGATCTATTGCAGGGGTCTCCAACATTTTTTGGCCCGTGAGCTACTTTTACACAATGAAGTACAGCAGAGTTACTGCCATATGATTTATTTACATTGATACTTTCCATGTGTGAATGTGCTTACATGCAATACTTACTATATTAACATGCACTGTACTCACAAGTTGATTTCTCTGTATTTCAGTACATCAGTATATATATTTTAAAAGTATAAGTAAACTAGTGACATTCTGAAAACCAAATTAAACAAAACATATTTAGTTTTTTAAACTAATCAGATACTTTCAGATAATGAATAACAAATCTACTTCATGTGAATGATTTGGTATTTTTTTAGAAGGTTAGTAACATAACTTTTTAAGCGCACAGGAACAGCTAACCTGTAAAGCTGATGATATTTTATATAAAATACAAGCTAAATGTGATAAAAACACAAAAGTCTAAATAGTTTGAATTGAAGTAAAAAATGTAAAATCAGAAATGAGACTTGTTCCTGCTCTCCTGATGTACTGAATAATTTTTATGGGTTTTTTTTTTTTTGTCATGAAAGTTAAGTTTTGCTGCATTTATTGCTGACAATATGAAGGTTGGGGGTTTATCCTTTTTTCTGCATCTTGTAGGTTTTTTTTCTCCACGCGTCTCTAAATAAAGTAAAATTTTCTAGTGCAGAGTGGAGACAACCCATAGAAGTACTGATTTGATCTCATTTCAGAGAAAAATAGAACAGGTTAGATGCACCTAATAAATAAAATTATAACAATCTCAGGAATCTGTTTCTTTGCTTCACTGTTCTGGTGCTGAGAATATCACTAATGCGGATCAAAGGAGATACACAGATGAATGCACCTCTTATTTATTATTTGGAGACTACATTTACTGCAGCTGGCAGAGGCAGAGATTTTTTCTATTGATACACGGAATTTACAGAATCATTTTAAATTTTAATAGGGGAAGACTGCAGGAGGGAGCGGTAAAATACAGGGGGTCCCCAGCAAAAACAAACTTTACGAGCCTGATGAAACCCGCTGGTTTTCCATCAGGCAGTCACGGGGCAGCTCCAACGACCCAGTGTCTGTGCTGGGTCACTGTTATCGAGCTCAGTCCGGCTCGGCCGTGAACGAGCTGAGGCGATGTCGTACTCTGCTTGAAGAGGTGTTATTTTCCCGCTTCAGAAGAAGCGTTCAACGTGTTTTTAAGCTTTCTCCGAGACATGTCACGTCGCTAAGTTGTTAGCGCCGCGCGCTAACACGTCAATAGTGCAGCGTAGCCTGCTGGAGGTTTTAAGGGTTCAGATGAAAACACCCGACCTCTCAGGCTGCTCACACATCGATCTTAAGTTGTCGCTGTTGCGCTCACATCGTAATACAGTATTAGATGCGGGTAAAGTCAGACATGAAAAAATAAAATAAATTTTACATGAATAAGTGATGCTTAGCCTGGTGGGGAGAGGAAACCCTGTCAAGATCGTCAACGCTCATTTATCTTAATGCTATTGAAACATGTAAACCAAAAAGCATTATATCCACTGCTACCTTTATGCTGTAACTTCACCCTGCCCTGCCTGCTCCTCCTTGCTGCCTGCCGGCTGTGATCACAAGCGACAACATAGTAGTTCCCGCTGCTTCCTCGGGAAACAGCTAAAAAAAAAATCCTATGTAAGGGAAACCCTGGTGTAGTTATTGTGTAAAGCAGTATATACTAGGAATGATTAATAAAAATAAAAACTAGAATTGAACCTGAGTTACATAGTAATAACAATTTAAGAACTCAGAAACAATAATACACTAACTTACTAAGTAATTACCATGTAAGTACTAAGTAATTAGAGGAGTGTAAAATAAAGCGCTACCAATAATTGTACTTAATATGCATTTATTTTTGTGTGCTATGTTCTGTGTCAATATTCTTTGATTTTATTTTACACAACATGATGTGACATTTTAACTATTTCATTTCACTTGTGATTGTTTTAACTATGTGAAGCACATTGGGCTACCGTTTTGTGTATGAAATGGGCTATATAATAAACTTGACTTGAGAGAGAGTTCACAATCATGTTTTGTTACTAAATGAGACACTCAGCTGAAACTGGGGGAAATATATGATGAATCTAAATCACAGGAGATGTCCAGAGTTTTTAAAGCCCGTGTTCATCATGTTGTGGGGACCACAATGAGGCTACACTCACACCCAGTTCTTGGTACCACAGACGTATATATTGACTTGGGACTGTTTGTATGTAAATATTGTTGACTGCTTGGCCGCTTGATCAGAACCAGAAACGTATGTGTAACAGACCATCTGGGTGTTCAAGGGGCCGTATGTGGAGGGCCACACAGAGGCTACGCTCACACCCAGTTCTTTGGACTGTTTGTATGCAGATGTAGCAGGACTGGTTGGTGTCTCAACCAGTTGATCGGCCAGCCTATCACACATATTAATCAAACCAGCCCACCATTAAAACATATTACAGATGATAACAACTCTACTGCTTGTACTATAAGATTAATGCACACAATTTAATTTAAGACATTTAACTGCATGTGTGCACGTGTTTGTTTGCACTGAATGTGTTTGTGCACATGGTTCACACGTGTGTAGGGTTAATCTACATACTAGAACTAACGCTGTTGCTATCAGCTTTGTTAGATTCTGAGAAAGACAAACAAGTTAATATATGAAGCTTCTATCATATATAAACATCTAGGATATTAATATAATCGATAGAATTTCATACACCAACGAGCTTGGTTTATATTTAATCTATGGATTAATATTTAATTTAAGATGTTTAAATTAATAGCAAAAGTTTATTTATTAAACAGAAGACTTAATAAGGTTCTTTGCTGATTCAATAACTGAAAATGCACACCATTCTGTGTTTCATTCAAAGAGTCAGGTTTAAAAATTTAAGAATTTATTACTAACAATTTCAAATCTGACAACTTAAAATAGACAATTTATGAATAACAATTTATAAATGACAAATTTGAACAACAATTTTGATATTAAAACTTGTTATTAAAGCAACCCCTGTGTCTGGATGGAAAACTAAGTGGAATGATGAGGTTTGGATGCGTGAATGAAATCTCAGAAGCTTTCTTTCAGATGGAGAACGCGTTCTGGGTGAAACGTTGGTTTTTCAGCTAACTGATGGTTTCTTAGAGAGAACAACATCGGACGCAATCTGTGTTCTACCTCACCGTTCAGACGACCCTCTGTGTGGATCTGGAGGTCTGGAGGATGTTGTCAGCCTCGGGGGTACTCCGGTCCGGCAGATGACCAAGGGTACCGACTTTCTCTGGTCCTAGAGTTGCCGTGAGGTGCACAGGTAGATGTGGCTTTGCATCCGGGCAGATTCTTAAGGAATCTCGTAGTGTCAGCTGGTTATAGGTGCGTTTATTCAGAACTATTCTATCTGCGTGACAGAACGCTTAGTGAGGAGTCAGGCGGCCGACCCTTCTCCTCTGGGATACTCTCGTTGCCACGAAGAAGTATCAGCTTGGTTCAAGAACTGAACTTAAGCTGTGGAGCTTTGGTTTTAACAAAACCTCAGAACACGCCCTCTCAGAGACAGGAAGCATGACTATGGAAGACATGTGAGGCAGTTACCTTGAAGTGAGTCCTGCATGAGGTGTAAACACGTGCAAAAGACCTTCTGGTTACTGAACACACATTACTGATTATCATAAATAATTATTAACCAAAGAATAATAAGTCATTTCATTAGTTAAAAATACATTTATAATGACCTATGATGATCATTTATGATGATTATAGTTAACCTTATAATAAAAGAGTTTATTAAATTATTTGATTAGAGTTGAAGGTCCTTCATCTCGTGATGGAACAGCAAACAGATAAACAGTCAGATTGAAGACGGTGTTATTGTAGACTATTCGGCTCCTGGTGGTTTAATCTGTGGATGGAAGTTACAGCTCAACCCAGCTGTGACCCAGCTGGAAAGAGTGAACTTTGCCCCACAAAATGAGGCCATTCATGATGCTACACGTGCGACCATCAAGAACAAAGTAGAAATTCAGCGAAAGAAAGCAAATTGACTATATATTAATTTGGTACAAGTGTGAACCTAGAGCCCCACGACTGTTATTTTAGGTACGGAGAGTGATCACGCTAGATCAAACAATGGGCTGAGACAATGTCTTCCTCCAAACTTGAGTTTATTTACACACAATGCATAAAACAAGTTATTCTGTTACAACCTCAACCAGGTCTGGGATCCTGGGAGGGCTAACACAGGTACGTGAGTGCAAAAAATAAAAATAAAATAGGGAGCAGTACACCAAATCATATTTGACAAAACAAACATTTTATCAACAAAAAGCGTCCCTCGTCATCGTCTTCCTCAGCTTATCCGGGTCCGGGTCGCGGGGGCAGCATCCCAACTAGGGAGTTCCAGACTGTCCTCTCCCCGGCCACCTCCACCAGCTCCTCCGGCAGGACCCCAAGGCATTCCCGGACCATATTGGAGATGTAACCTCTCCAACGTGTCTTGGGTCGACCCGGGGGCCTCCTGCCGGCAGGACATGCCCGAAACACCTCCCCAGGGAGGCGTCCAGGAGGCATCCTGACCAGATGCCCAAACCACCTCAACTGACTCCTTTTGAGCCGGAGGTGCAGCGGTTCTCTTCCGAGTCCCTCCCAAATGTCCGAGCTCCTCACCCTATCTCTAATGCTGAGCCCGGCCACCCTACGGAGGAAACTCATTTCGGCCGCTTGTATCCGCGATCTCGTTCTTTCGGTCATTACCCAAAGCTCATGACCATAGGTGAGGATTGGGACGTAGATTGACTGGTAAATCGAGAGTCTGGCTTTCTGGCTCAACTCCCTCTTCACCACGACAGATCGGCTCAGCGTCCGCATCACTGCAGATGCTGAACCAATCCGCCTGTCGATCTCCCGATCCCTCCTACCCTCACTCGTGAACAAGACCCTAAGATACTTAAACTCCTCCACTTGAGGTTGGACATCTCTCCCGACCCGGAGTTGGCAAGCCACCCATTTCCGGTCGAGAACCAAAAAGCGTCCCTACGGGAGATAAACGACAACACAAAATGGAAGAAGACTTGTTAAGACAAAAATGATATTCCAGAAATGTTCTGAGTAATATGGCCATTTAACACTCGGCCTTAACATTAACTTATCTGTGCGAATACTGGGGATTCACCCAGAGAATCCAAATATGAGGCCTTACCAGAAACAAAGGGGGAGCAGACTCAACCAAACAATAACCACCCTCAACAACATAACGACAAGCGGAAGTAAGGGAAGCCGGCCCCAAAAGAACATAACGCTTTCCCTAAGGTTACGTCCAAACCGTCTGGATAATACCATAGCTTTAAGAACTCCCCCGAGCCTCCAGAGTTCCAAGAGAAAAAAGAACATTGCTGGTGGGCCAGTTCTGGCTGACAGATGGGATTTGGGTGTTGGTTGTCTTATTTGTTGGGATGCACATTTTGTATCTGTGTTCTGTTTATGTGGCTTTACCTCAAAAGAACTTTGAAATCTCATCTCTACACAAATCTTATTTCACAAACCAGGAAAAAAATCTATATCTATCTATCTATCTATCTATCTATCTATCTATCTATCTATCTATCATCTATCTATCATCTATCTATCTATCTATCATCTATCTATCTATCTATCTATCTATCTATCTATCTATCTATGGTTAATCATCAGTATGCTTTGTGAAAATAAGGTTTGATCACACATGTATTTATATGCTTATAATGAATCACCTGTATGTTAATCCCCATATTAATCATTTCAATGTTCGGGTGTTACTCACGTCCCTTTGAACTGAACGATGCATATACCAAATGGATGACTCACCTGTGACTGGTACGTTCTAGCACTGAGTTAGACCTATATCTGATTTATGCAGGCTGATACTGCTAGAAGTTTCAGCTTGTGTTGAAGGAGATTCTCAACAGGCGAAGGCCAGGTGCAGACCAGACCATCTAAAAGCTGTTCAACGGGAAAAAGCCAGGGCGTAGGTCATCGCAGCCTTAGCAAAGGAAGATAGGGTAGGAAGCAGATGGGGCAATGTGTCTCCCATCTTATCTGGAGGAGGGAGTGAAAGCAGAGAGGGGTGTCAGTTACCATGGCAACAGGTGATGGCCTTCAATAAAGTTAGGGAGGGGTCAACATGAAACTTTGCATCATGAGAGGAAGAATCAAAAGGTGTACATCTTGTAAAATTTTCAGATTTGTCACAGGGACTGGGGCGGCAGAATCTCTCCTAATGCACGTGGAGAATAAAGTGTGATGATTGCAACATAAGGCAACTTGTGGCTTACTTCTTGTCCCACGCCCTGGTTGTAACTGCCTTCTATAATTTTGTACACAACTGTAACAGAAATGTTGTGACTGTATCTTTTGCTGCCTCTTGGCCAGGGCTCCCTCAAAACTGAGAACTTTAATCTCAATGGAACCTTCCTGGTTAAATAAAGAATATAAAAATAAGTAAATAAAATGTATTTAGATGATGAAACGTCAAAAAGGAAAATTATTTTACTTGTTTGTCAGTGCATTTGAAGAAACAACTTAAAATGTTATTTATTTAACCAGATGAGTCGATAGAGAACTCATTCTCATTTACAACAATGATCTGGCCAAGAGGCAGCAGCAACAGACACATAATTAGCTTTACATCAAAGAAAAACAAATGAGATAAAAACAAACTAGATTGAAATAAAGTAAATTACAGAATTATTATAGCAGGTGTAAAACTAACTTGTCTTTACTTTAAGTAATTGTTTGAGGAAGATATCACATGTTATGTGTGTTTTATTAGTCCCATTCTGAACACACAGGTGTTTTATTCTGCTCCAGCAGGTGGCGCTAGTGCACCTTTACGCTGGTCACCGACCACCTGAAGAAGCAGAAACCGGAAGCTGCTAGCAGAGCTAGCTTGTTGTTCTGGTGTGTGAGGAGAACATTTGAGGCTCTGCAGTAAAAATGTCTTCACTTCAGTCTCTGGGAGAGTTGATCAGCTAAAGCAACTAACTGCTGCTGCTGCAGAAATCTTCTCACCAGGCTGTGGAAACTTTCTTCTCCTCCTCAACAACTTGGTGGAGTTCTTTCCAGAACCAGAGAAGATATTCTGCGGTCTTCGTGACAATCGGAGCTCCAGAATCAGGTTGTGGGTGAGAAAAGCTTTTCTCTAGACTTCCTGCCCTCTGGATCTGCTGCTGTTCCTTTGGCCTCTCTGAGAAACGCGCTCGTTTTGCTGCTTTCATCAGATTGAAGAGGTTCCCTCTATCAGACTCGCTCATCTGAGTTGGTCATGATGCAGGATCGCTGCTCGCTCTCTCATCCATCCTGCTCACACTCTCCGACGGAAAAGCCCCGAATCTGAATGTGACTCTGGAGGAAAAAGTGGTTAGCTCTACTCCGTGAACTCTGGTGAGCAAAGGTCCTCTTTTCCAGACTGGATCTGTCCTCAGCTGATCAGAACCAAAGCGTTGGATCTTTAATCTCCTGCGTTGTTCTTAATCAGCTCTCCTGCTTCGTTTCTATTGCAGCTGTTAGCTAAACACGGCTAAAGAAAACCTGCTACCACTTCAGGATCATCCATCAGCTGGGACTGATTCATCGTGTGTTCTTCACCACCTGGACCTGGACAGCATGGACACAGGTACTGGTGGATGAATGAATGAATATATGGTCAGTCTATGGTGGGACATTACAGTGAAATTATGAGAATGAGGTTCAATCTTTAAAATAATGATCTGTATATGTTTAGCACTACTGGGGTTCTAAACCCCCCAAAGCGTTTTACATCACAACCAGTCATTCACACACTGTTGTAGAACCTTGTAGTTTTAGAGTGATTAGATCTCTCTAATGAATGATTTTTGAAGCCAAGTATAGTTAAAGTCCCAAAGTCATCGTCACACACTGGTGAAGTTACGTCCTGCATTCGACCCGTCCCCATGGGGAGCGGTGAGATGAAGCTGTGGGAACTATTTGGTCTTCTGTCGGGTTTCAGTCACTACGAGAATCAGTCAGAGACAGGAGAGGTTTTCATCGTGTTCACAACCTACCTTTGTTGTAGCGTCAGTCACGCATCATCATTTGACCAATCACAGTTGGGGAGACAGCCTGCTGCAGACACGACGGCAGCGGCGCTGACAGCACGTATGACTGCTGTTGCTTCAGCACGTCGCTGTGGTTTAGAGCTTAAAGGCCCAGTGTGTAAAAACATTCGACTCTTCAGCGCCACGCAGTTCAGAGTAAGTATTGCAGCTCCGGTAGCCCACACTAGGGTTGGGCTGTTTTTCCATTCGCCCATCATTAGTCCAGTAAATGACGATGGGCCGTGGTGTGTGCGTGTGACTGATTACGGTATGATTCACTGACTGATTTGCGAACACAGAAGAAGTCTAAACATGGATGTTTTTATGGATGTGCAGCACAAATTAGATTTTTCTTTTTGTTTAACTCACTCACTGCCAGCCGTTTCCTGATCAGAAAAGCTCTTCTCTGCCAGCGTTTTTCAGCGTTTTTACTGTTTTTTTAAGAGTCACAGAACGTTGCTCTATGATGATGTCAACGCCAAAACTACCAAAACAAAGAGTAGACTCACCTCTTACAGGAAGAATCCGCGCATTTTGACCGTTATCTGTTCTTTCATAAGCCGTTGTTGAATAGTGATCGGCAGAAACTTTTCCGGTTCTCGCCTCACTTTTTTTTTACAGCAGCGTCCCAAAACGATCTCCTAACACACACGTGTCAGACACCATGCGGCCCGTGGAGCATTTTTATGTGGCCCGCGAGATAATTATCAAAAATATCTTAAAACTGGCCCGCCAAGACTACAACTCCCATGATGCTTTGCAGCGTTAACGCAGAGCCGAAGTGCCCCCTCCTTTGTGTTTTTTCCAGCGTCTGCTGCCGGTGTCTGCAGCTCCGCTGTCTCAGACAAACTAAACACTCCTCTCACTCAGCGCCGAGTTTTCTCAGCTATTTTCTGACGTTGAAGCCCAGAAACGGAGATTCTAGCCGCTCAGTAATGTGTTCACGACTGAAAGAGAAAGTTTTCCAGCTAACTTCCAGACAGAGCTGGTATAACTCCAGCGAGCAGCAACACGCTCAAACCAGCACGACTCTGTGGCTGCTGTAGTTGTTATTTTTCCTCCCCGACACACAACGACGTGGTCAAGCTGCTCAGACATGTTCATCAGCACAAACCTATGTGAGCACCTGTTGTCACCTAATGTTGTCATTATTATGATGAAGATGAACAAAACAACAGGAGTCTCCTCCTCAGCTCAGATCAACCCCATGATGCAGGTATCTGGCTGGAACAGGTGAGCATCACAGTAAACCAGTGGAGCAAACTGAGCTTTAAATATGTTGGTTTTATGCTCTTTTTCTGCTCCAAAACATGAAAGTTAACAGGTGAGATGTTGCATTTTCATTTAAGATAAAATGATATTTTTATTTTGTTGTTGGCCCGTGAGAAAAGATTTAACCTACAGTAAACAGGAAGTGGAAAGGCTGCAGATAGATGAATAGAATAGAAAATCCCTTTATTGTTCCTCAGTGGGGAAAGCTAGACGTCACAGCAGCGATGACACGTATTACAGGAGAAAAAAGGAGAATAAAAATAAGAAAAATGAATAAACAAGAAAACATAAATCCTGAACAGATTTTAAAAATGCTGAATATACCACAAGTAATGAATACCACTGATGCCTTTTATTTAAAACTGACTTGCTCGTGTGTAATCTGGTTATTCCACATTCAGTGTTAATGCAGAAATAAGTTTGTTTCCAAATTAAAAGGTTCTAAATTGCATAAATGTTGATAAAGAAAATGTGCAAATTTGCCGTCACTTTTCCAGAAAATATCAAGTTTGGCCCTCGACTCCTTCCCAGATTTTCATTTCGTCCCAGTGTGAGTTTGAGTTTGACTCCCCTGATCTAACACGTGGACTTTCTGCTTCCTGATCACGTGACGTGTGACGTACGCGGATGAAGATCGGCTTTAGAGCTGGGATGTTTGTTCTCACGGTGCGGGGGCTCGTTCCGACGCCCACACAGTAAAAACATGCCAATGACAGTTAAAGAGTTGTTAAAGCGTTGAAAGGAAGTAGGGCTGAAACGAATCATCAAATGGTTCGATTCATTAAGTTCCTCGATTCATTTTTTTACTGATTCGAAGCTTCGTTAAACGTGCGCTCCACAGTCTGAACACATTTTACTGGAGCTCTACGTGGTGATCTCGGTGCTGTGGTGGAAAAAAGAGAAACCAGCAACGACGGAAACCATCGTTAGAGGCAGAAACGGTCCAACGTTTGGATCAAGAGTTAAACTACAAGCAAACTACTGAATTAGCTGACTGAGTGGAGGTGGTTCATAGATGTCGCAACCTTTATGTCAGAAGGGTCCCCCCCCCCCCCCCCACACACACACACACACACCTTTTGCTCTTTCCATTGTTCTCAAAGAAATCCGTTCCACTTGATTCATTAGAAATGACTCAGTCGGCTGAAGTCCGTTCCACGTTTTCCTGGTTGCTCTGCTGCACGCATGGTGGGCGTGACTGACATGGTTGTCAACAGTTAGAAAATAAAAGACCGAACAAACCAAAGTGAAACTACAGGCTTTTGGAAGCTGGAGGAGGAGTCAGTGCCATTACTATCCCATAATAAGCAGTGTCCTTGTCTGATCCCTCCACAGACACGGGGACATGAGGACATTTCTCACAAAGAAGCATAAAATAAGTAAAACTGTCCAGAATGAATGCTGACAGATGCTTTGAAACCCTCCGTCCCCCAGTTCTGGTTAGAACTGGGTTTACCCGCGGGTCATCTGGGTGAGGCCACAGAACCTGCAAAGACTCTCAAAAGGTCTTTTTTTTTTTTTTTTTTTTTTTTTTTTTTTACCGTGACCTGTCTGGCTGTGAAGCAAGCAGAATTGATGTCTGAATGCTGGTGACAAGCCTTACAGATTTATTCTCAGGTGGAGCATCAAAGCGTTTGCTTTTAATGTCACGCCTGATACTTAAAACTTTATTGTTATTGTTGTTGAATGCTTTGTAATTCCAACCAGACACGGAGACAGAGGTGAAAGAGAAAGGAAGAGAAAAGGTGGAGAGAGAGGAGGAGGGGGGGGGGGGGGTTCCACAAAAATAAACAATGAACAAGAGTCTGCTTCTAAACCTGCAGAAAAAGACAAAAAAAAAAAAAAAAGGACACAAAAAGGGACACAACAACAATACAACAAGATCTACCTATCACTGCGTCAACTTGATGAAAAAAAAAACAAAAAAAAAATTATATATATATATATAATCAACATTGCTTAACTGAAGAATCACGATAATAAATCACAATGCATTAAGTGCCCCCCATAGTCTTAAGACATGTGTTGAACGTGCCCAAGCCCATACTTTTGAGAGCACCATGTGAGCACCTGTGTGTGTACACGCGCTTGTTTATTTAAGGTTTCTCTATAGGAGCGTCCAACAGAGAGTGTGAGGGACCACAGATCCGCCCCCCAAAGATGCGCAGGAGACGGGGGGAGCTCCAAGTCCCAGAGATCCAGGCGTTGCCCCAGAATGCAGGAACCCCAAGGAGACTGCAACCAGAAAGGCCCCCGCCCCCCTCGAGAGGCACAGAGGATCGCCCCGGGGGGCCACAACCAGCAGCCGGCAGAGTCCCTGGAGATATCAGCGGCAAGCCCACAGGCCCGCCCGCAGCCTCCCACCCCCTAGCCGGCCGAGCCCGGGACCCAGGGGTGACCACCCCCGCCGGGGACCCAGCAGAGCCCAGGGACCCAGACCCCACCAGGCAGCCACCGGGATCTAACAGGCAGATGCCAAAATCTTAAACCCCCAGACCCGGTTGCCACGAACACTCAGGCAGACCATGGCACAAGCCCCCACACCAGGTGTGGCAGGGGGAGGGGGGACAAAGATCTATATCATCAAGAGAAGTTCCAGGAGAGGGGAGGACCCAAAGGCCCCACCTGACATATACAGTCATACACAAACACAGTCATACACTCCCTCCCTCATGCTCACACATGCACATACAACCCAAGACTTACAAAAATGCACGCCGGACACTCACTCATGCTCCCCATACACACCCTATTAACTCTGGTCTCGGTACTGCTGCACATGGGGTACAACCATCACCGGTAACCAGAGTTTGACCCTTTCTGCTGGGGTACTGATGAGCAGGCTCCCCCGCCCAACGCTGAGCACAGCAACCCACCACCCCAGACCCCAACCAGACGGCCAGATCTCCCTCCTAGCCTCCAGCCCCAGGAAGCCTAGCAACAACAGAGGTGGCTAAGACCCCTAGTCTCCCTCCACCTGCTCCAATATAGCGTTGTGTGATCATGAGGTGTATTCCATGGCTGTGGTGAGTGGGCAGTGCGGGCATCATCCGGCATATGCCAGCTGATGCCACCGCACCACCCCACTTACACCCTCAGCCATCAGTGTCTAAGTGCAGTTTAAAATTGGAAGTGGGCACCGGCACTCGGGAGGAGGCTGAAATATCCCCCTGCCAAATGCCGTTGAATGTGCTCACTCCCAAGGCCCTAAGTGTGTGTGTGTGTGGAATGTCGTCAGTGGAAGTGTATAAGGTGCAAATAAAATTGGGGGGCAGGTTGCCACAGGAATGCGGAAATGGGGTCCATACCCGCACTCCCTGACTTGCCCACCCCCCAAGGTCCTATGTGTATGTTTGTGTGATGATGTGAGGGAGCAGGAGGAGAGAAATATGCGGGGATGGGGAGGAATGGCTGGTTGGGCTTAGCCCTCCAGGGAGCCAGCTCCCCTACTGGCCCCAATAGGCACCTCTGTTGTCAAACCGCCACCCAGGGCATGGAGACCCCAGCCCATCCTGCCAGGGCCCAAAGCAGCAGCATTACAGAGCCTCACGGAGTCCGAGGGCACCAACCCAGCCCCATCCCAGCAGAATATCTATGCCCACCCCTGCATTTGCACAACTTCCAGAATATATAAGACATGGGACATCCAGGTAAGGTTGGGTCCTCCCCGTCCTGGACCTCCCCCCTCCCCTGTGATGGAACGGCAGAGGAGCCAAGGTCTACCTGATGCCCCCGAGCCCGGGCCAGGCACTGCTGAGTGTTCCTGCCTTCTTCCAGGCAGCATACATGTCAGGACCCGACCCCCAAGGCCCCGCCCAGATCCCCACACGGGGCCGGCCACCCCCAAACCCCGAGCCCCCAGGCCCCCACCCAGACCCGCCCAGGGGCATTGCAGCCGCCAGGCAGTGACCCATGGCCGCCGCCAAGATCCCCAAGGGGCCCCACTCACAACCGCCAGCAGTCCACCCCCCGAGGCAACCCAAGCACCTCCAGAGGGGGGCAACGGCCCCCCAGTCCCAGACACCCCCAGTGAACCCACCTCCAGGGAACATCCGGATACTCCAAACTCAGACCCCACACCCCCCCACCCACACCATCCCGCAGGACAACATCAATGGCCCCCCACCCTCGCTATATGATGGAACCGATCAAAGGAGCCCAGAGAGATTCATCTGAAGTGGAAGCAGAGGCTATATCAAGTGCAATATGATCTAACAAAAGATTTCTATACTGGTTAATGCAGAGACTTTCTCTATTTTTCCAATTCAAGAGGATAGTTTTCTTAGCGATGCATATGGCAGTCAGAACCACGTGAACCAAAGATGTTGCAATCGGGACATCGTGCAATATCGCGTCAGACCCGTGCCACAACCCGTGCACGCGCATTGGGTCCACAGCGCGCGTGTGAACGGGACTCGCGAGCGAAAATATACATGGCAGCGCGCGCTGTGAACGGGACTCGCGAGCGAAAATATACATGGCGAGAGGTCATTTGTGCACTGAGAGGGAGCAAACTGTGTCTGTGAGCGCACAAGGATGTGCACAAGTGACAAACCTGCGTGCGCGCGTTGCCAACGAGCACACGGTAGAGGAAAACGTGCGCGCGCGGCAGCCTCTGCGCGCTCGGTTTCTAATTCCGCTCGCTCGGCGGTGAGGAGTTTTGGCACTCTGGAGGCGTGGCCTGGGCAGATCTTCCCTGTCCTCTGATTGGTTAGTATACCCCGCACTTTACTCTCTACCTATCTATATAAAAAAATCTGAGATTCAGCAGTTGCTGTCATAGCTCAGCTGGGAGAGCGGGTGACTCTCACTCTGGAGGATCCAGGTTCGAGTATAAAGTGCACCAAACTTGACTCAGTCCATTCAACAATTCTAAATGGACAATTATGTAACTCATCAATTAATTATTTGAAAGGATAATTTGTCAATTAAATGCTGAAAAAAATAAACAATACATTAATGAGGCAAGAACTTTTTAAACTTGAACATACCTACACCCACAAGTCTATTTTTACCTGGTTAAAACCATCTAGCTTATGTGCACTTTTTAAAACACTGCCCAGCAAACATTCGGACGTTTAATGACAGTTGAACGGTCACAACTGTAAAATAATATCACAGGAATTAGGAAAGAATAATATGACATCAACTCTATGTTCCTTGGCCAGACTCGAACCTGGATCCTCCAGAGTGAGAGTCACCCGCTCTCCCAGCTGAGCTATGACAGCAACT